TGATTCCTGCCTGTTCTCTATCTTCACAGAGAAAAAGAAGGAGGAAGAGGGAATAAGACAGGAGAAGATAATTAAGACGGACAGAAGAGACAGAACAAAAGCAGATTTGTTAAACCAGTCTTTTCGTGGAACCCTCTTAGAAAGCTATATGCAGGTTAAATATAGAACCAACACTTCCCTAGGGAGCCTGCTGGTGAATGGTTCACATGCCATGAGTTTGTAGCAGATTCTAGTCTCATTCCTGTTGGCTGGCGGAGATCTTCATTTCTAAATCATTAGTGCTTGTCTCCAGGGTAGTTCTTGCAGTAGTGGTTTTCAGAGCATAGTCTTTTAAAAGCTGTGCAAGATTTTTTGCCCACCACTTTTCTACTGCTTAGTAACAACAGACTATGAAGTTACGATATCTGCTCACATTAATCTTTTGTAAATACACACATTAATCTTTCATAAAAAAGCTGAAATAGGAAGATTACTCTTGATGACCTATGTTCAATAGTCTTGGGATCCTCTTCTGTAAAAATCTTCTGAGTACAGCATTACTTTTGAAGAGGTAAAGCCAGTGGTATACAGCTGTGGCAGATACATAATTTAGGGCATCAGATGACTAGATGATTTCCAGTGGTGACACTGACTTCTTCTCCAGTTAAGTTATTTTATAACAAGAAGAATAGAAAATGAACTTGATATTTTCCCACTTATCTAAAATAATGCAAGTGATATTTACAGTTTCTGTAATACCTGTTTTTATGGAATGGCCGCAGTTTCTAAACTGTGCAGCTGACTACATTAAAATGTATTGTTTCATGATTTTGATCAACATTAAGGTACTAGTCACTAAATGACAGTTTAATGCAACACTACATTTCAGCTGATCCTTCAACAGGTGGCAATAGAAGCATGTTTGCTACAAGAGATCAAAGTGCCATCCCATTCTTGTCTGAACTTTTTACAGAGGTTATGGCCGGGTCATGATCATAATTTTTCATTTAATGTAGGTTCCTTTAAAAATTAACGCTGCGCTCTTCTCTGTCTGGATATCTTAGATGAGCAGGAATATGTTTTCATGACAAACCCTAATAATACTGAATCCTTACACAGCTCAACATTTTTTTAAATATGGTAGAGCCAGACTAGATCAAATATCTAATCATATATTTTTCTCAAAGTGACTAGTACTAAATATATCAGAGGATTTCATTCATCTTCTTCTGGAACAAGTAATTCCATTGAAAGAGTATCTTTCTAAACTCCTCCTCAGTAGGAGGCAAACTTGCATTTTAGTTTCAGATCAGTTTTCCTTCTTAAAATACTCTCTGACTATTAATCAGACACTGCTAAGTATTTGTGACAGACATAATCCCATAGACAGTCAGGGGAGTAACTTTAACCCTGCACCTAAATTATCAGACCATCGTTTAGTATTCTTAGTATAATCATTTTTTCTCTGTCCTTTACATGATCCATTAGCACTTACCCTGCTTCTCCAAATGCATAATGTGTTTGTTAATACCCTAAGAACTCCCATGTTGTTGGGGAAACCTATATGCAAAGGTATGAGTCACACCTAACTTGAACTGTTCTTTTATTGGTCCTGCATGCATTATTTTCATCCCCATTTGCCCCACTGTGGACTGCCCTATTTAACAGTGTGCTTTGGAAGATGTGGCCTCAACTGTAGTTCTAGCCTGTGGTTTAGTAAACTCCCAGAGCATTTAACGCAAGGTTCAGTTAAGGCCTGAGTTGGTATCAGAGAGTATTCTCAAAGCAGAACAACACCCCTTATGGTAGCTGCTCTAGCTGAGCCTGCTTTAGAATTGGACTAAATTCCAAGGTCCCTTGCAACCTCAGCTATTCTGCAATTCCGTGAAAGTATAGCCCTAGTCATTGATCTGAGTACCCCTCAGCTTTTTCTTTCATTATGTCTCCCTAAGATAGCACAGTATTTTTATTCCCAACAATAACAATAGCAAAGACAAACTGATACGCAAGATCATCTAGCAAATTCATGGCAGAACAGTAAAGTGTGCTCTCAGGCCTGCTCCTGGGTATTTATTTAATATAGTTCATTGTTTCTGTTTTCAGTGAGTGCTGCTGTCACTCTTTGTGTGGACCAAACGTATTTCCAAAAAAAAATTGTTTAAGTATTAAAATTTATACCAAGCAGACTGAGTGGGCTGGAGAAATTACTCTTCTTCCTCATCTTAGTGCTAGCAGCGAGTCAAATCTCAGCGCTTTAAGGAAAAGCACTTTTTACTCCACACCTTCATGTGGACAACTACTCTTGAAACTATACCAAGCCCCACAGTAGTAAGACCACCTATTAATTGCAAAAGGCACTGTCTGCAATCACTGTTTTAGAAACAGAGACAAAATTGTCATTGAATTCTCTGTTAGATGAGTTTTCCCTTGATTGGAATCAGTGCTCTTGCTTGTCCCTATATCATTTAATCTGTAGGAGTGAATAATGAAATTTGTGTAAAAAAAAAAAAAAAACCCTACTTGATCAGCAGATTATCCAATACAGCAGTATGACAAACTGAATAAAGAAGGAACACACACAGACACAAAAATCACAAACTTGTTATCAACTGTAATTTAGAATCTATACAGTCTCTTCCCACCGTAAGTGATCCTTTTCAGTAGGCTTGACAGAACTCTTACAGTTTATATTTCGGATTGGGGGGGGGGGGGGGCATGAAAGAAAAATCAATAACTAAAGTTTGTTTCACTATCAGAAATCATACCTTTAGAAGATATCAGTATCACTTACCAAGGTTTGGATCAAATCCTTAGAAGCGCTCATTATTTCTAACAATGGTTTAAGTCCCAGGGGGAACTGATAACTGTCTCCCACTTTTCATCTGCTTTACTTTCTTTTCATCCATGACTTCAGTAGAATGACAGCTTTTGACATCTATTAGAATCAAAGACTGGTAATAGCATTAGCCGAGAACAAATGGGTATGACTTTCTTCTCTTTCCTCTGTTTTCAGCCTGGTTTTAAAGGCCTCCCTGATCCCTTTCTACAAAGCAACTAGAAAAGTTTCACATTTTAGATTTCTTTCTCTGTTCTTGAGGTTTTCATCCCAAGGAAGTTTAGATTATTTCTCTTCTTATGCATATAGATTCATCTCTTCTTATATATGGGTAATTGCATTGTCAGTCTCCTCTCAACAACTGCAGAAAAAAGCAGACAAGACCCTCATGATACCATTTGAAAAAGCTACCCCCAGAATCAGAATTAATTCTAATTCAGAGACCTCTAATTTAATGGACTGGCAGTTTTTAAGGGAAAGAAGATATTTACTGTACTAATAAATTAACAATGTTTGTGTATAAATGTATCAGCCATAGTAAAGTTTAGTTATACAGGGGGATCCTCTAATGATCTTCTGGGAGGAATATAAGAACATTGCCTGAGTATGCAGGGATGCGATGAGGAAGGCCAAGGCCCGTTTGGAATTTAATCTGGCAAGGGATGCCAAGGACAGAAAGAGGACTTCTTCAGATACATCAGGAACAAAAGGAGAAGCAGGGAAAATGTGGGCTCACTACTGAATGGGGCGGGGGCCCTGATGACAAAGGATACAGAGAAGGCAGAGATACTGAATGCCGCCTTTGCTTCAGTGTTCACTGCTAAGACCAGTCCTCAGGAACCCCGGACCCTGGAGATCAGGGAGAAAGTCTGAAGAAAGGAAGCCTTTCCCTTGGTCAAGGAGGATCAGGTTAGAGATCATTTAGGCAAACTTGACATTCACAAGTCCACGGGCCCTGATGGGATGCACCCACGAGTGCTGGGAGAGCTAGCGGACGTCACTGCTAAGCCACTCTCCATCATCTTAGAAAGGACATGGAGAACAAGAGAGGTGCCTGAGGACGGCAAGAAAGCTAATCTCACTCCAGTCTGCAAGGAGGAGGACCTAGGGAACTGCCGGCCCCTCAGCCTCACCTCGATCCCTGGAAAGGTGATGGAACAGCTCATCCTGGATGCCACCTCTAACCATGTGAGGGATAAGAAGGTGATCAGGCGTAGTCAGCACGGATTCACCAAGGGGAAAATCATGCTTGACCAACCTGAGAGCCTTCTACAATGGGATGCCTGGCTGGGTAGATGAGGGGAGAGCGGTGGATGTTGCCTTCCTTGACTTCAGTAAGGCTTTCGACACTGTCTCCCATCACATCCTCACGGGCAAGCTCAGGAAGCGCGGGCTAGACGAGCGGACAGTGAGGCAGACTGAAAACTGGCTGAACGGCAGAGCTCGGAGGGCTGTGATCAGTGGCACAAAGTCGAGCTGGAGGCCTGCAGCTAGCGCAGTATGCCTGGAGTCCATACTGGGTCCAGTACTGTTCAACTTGTTCATCAGTGACCTGAGTGAAGGGACAGAGTGCATCCTCAACGAGTTTGCTGCTGATACAAAACTGGGAGGAGCGTCTG